CAATAGATAGTAGGGGCAAGAACATCTGAGTCAACATAGTAATAGATGCTAAAAGAGCAAGTTCCTCCTAAATTATTTCTCCCAATCAATACAAGAAACAAGGTATTTCAACCATTCGAGGTAAACATCAGCTTTGTCAAGCTGGTATTTCAATAGAGCTGTGCATTGCTACTACATACAGGAACAAAATCAGCTAGTACAGAACCTTAAGAGAATTTGGATGGATCTCTGTACAATGGATATGAACATACAGACAAAACATCAAGATGCAGCAAGTAGAAATTAGGTAGAAAAAAACTGGAGAAAATTTGGGTTATGAGATACTTGTCCAAATTTATTCATGATGCATTATTAAACCCATGGATTTGCTTTGATATAAGTGTCGATATTCAATAAATTCTCATATTGCACAAAAGTAGATCGAAAGGTTTAAAAACTTGTGAACAAATTTTGGATCATCTCCCAATTTTTCCCCCAAGAAAATCAACAAAAAGTAATTGATCCCAGGGATGTACAACAGGTATGAAAGTTCATTTTGAGTGAACTTAAGAAGAGCCTATTTGACATTCTTATTTATAATGTAATGGTAAAAGTGAAGGTGGGAACAATTTTATATAAAGGTTTAAAAAAATCAATATCGAAGGAGATGAATCAGATGAAGCAAGTAGCCAGCAATGCACAAGAAGATTAACTTTGGCATAGCTTTCTCTGCATACATCAAGTAGATTAACTTCATCAAATAAAATTCCTTGAAATTAATTAAAAAATGTAAACTATAGAACAAAATGGTTCTAAAAAACATTATAATTCATCGTATAGGAAGCCAAGCTCAACATGCTAAGCAAACAACCAAATGCATCATCTGGAATCTGGAGAGACAAAAAACTAACCTACCATACATTATACATATACTATAAACAAAGCTGATGTAAAAACTAGGAAATCTCTTAAGCTGGTTCAGCCTGAACTGGCCCAACTGGCCTTGCAAGGACCGGTTCTCTATTACAAGAGACGGACCAAACAGCCCCTTTCGGGGGATTGCCGCCCAAGCCTAATGAGCCCACTAGGTAAGCCAATTGGGAAAGAAGTAAGGGGCAGCTAGGAGAGGGAGGGAAAACTTGAATTCGGTATTTGAAATTAGGGAACTATGTATTAAATAGGAAGAGTGCTTGACTATTGTGTTCTCTTGGAGTTTATTCTTGATGTCTTGGGCTCTAGATTCATCTAGAGATTGGGAGATAACAATTCTCCTCAGGAATTGAGGATCAATTGTATCTTTGATTCCTACAATAAAATCTATTATTTTTTATTGTTTCCATTGAAATTGTTGAGTTTTTCCCGCTGTTTTTATCGATCTTGTTAGGATTTACCTGAAATATTCAAGTATTTCCTATCAAAATCCTTTTGTTAAAACACTCTGTATTAGCTATTCATGTTTTTTCAGTACATATAGAAATCATGCACAATGTTACAAATAAAAATCTAAGCACTGTACTTAGCGAGAGCCCTCATTGTCATGTATAATATGGTCGCCCTAATGGTAAATCAGTCTCCGCGAGAACACAACTTTCTAGCAAACCAATACAGGCGATAGATACACCAAATAATACACAGATCACATAAGTAAACAAAGCAACGGTTTAAGATAAAAAAACAAGAACCACCATGATAATCTGTTCAACAAAAGTGCTTTTAGGAGAAAGCCATAAACCAATTCAAACAATTATCAACAGAAAAAAATATTCAATCAGAACATAAGACGAGAGCAAGAGGAAAATGAAATATATGTTACCTCCCAACTTCAATTGCATAATCACCGCGAATGGTCCCGGGTTCCGAGTTAGAAGGATTGGTAGCCCCAATCATCTTCCGACCAGTCACAACAACATTCTTACCCTCCCAAACCATGGCCACCACAGGGCCAGATATGATGTACTCCACCAAACCAGCGAAAAAGGGCTTCGCTGATAAATCCTCGTAGTGCTTCTCAGCGAAGGACCGCTCCACGGTTATAAGCTTCAACCCTAAAATTCAAAAAGATCACGCCTTGCCAAAAAAACCACACAATACTTGATGATGCATGCATCCAAAAAAGAAATACCTTTCAGGTAGAAACCTTTCTTCTCGAATCGTCCGATGACATCGCCAACCTGTGATGTTACATAGATTTGAGTTACGCAAGTAATCAAATTGAAGAAAAGTAGAAAATTAGAATAGGAGATGAAGATTTATATATTACCAGGCCGCGTTGGACGCCATCAGGCTTGATCATAATGAAGGTCTGCTCCATCTTTTACGCTTTCGTAGATTTCTCTCGCGATCAACTATGGGCAAGAGGCGGCGAGAGAAAGAAACCCTAGACGAAGACAGAAGACCGCTGAGCTTCAATATTTATAGAGAAGGGTTCGTAAATAACGAATCCGAAGCGAATATCTTTATATTCCTTATATAATGGG